GTGGATCAAGCTTTCTCAGTGCCAAAGTGCGTGAGATTGGCGAGAATGTCTGAAAAGTCTTACGAGTTACTATGTAAGATGTTCTCAGCAGTTCCAGAGAGAACCAAAGAGGAGTTGGAGTCAATACTAGGAAAGAAGTTCATGGGATATGTGAGTGGGAACTTCAGTGACTTTGAAAAACATAAACAGAGAGGATCAACTGTCACAGATTACAATGCAGTAGATGAGAATGATGAAATCCACCGAGTGATGATGGAAGTGGAACCATTGCTGGAAGCTTCAGGAAAACGCAATTGGAGGAGCATCATGTTGACACATGACGAGTTTCCTTGCCACTGCTTGCTGCAGACCTGGTGGTATCCCAAGCGTAGTAATTTGGTGTTGATCTGGGACTCTGGAGAGCTGCTCTCCATGGGTTTACCAGATTCATCACAGCCCATAACAATAGTGATAGTGGGAGTTATGATGGCGATACGATGGCTGGAAGCTCATGTGAGAAAAAATAATAGACAGGAGGCACCGACGAGAGAACAATTGCAGAAATTAGATTGTCTAAAAGATTTAGATATTTTTGAGACAATGTGCAAAGTTCTAAACATTCCGATGGAAGTGAAGAAGATATGGGCAAGAAAACGATTGATGCCATGGTTCAGAGCTAACATGACTGCATGGTTGTACGAGTATGCGAAAAAGCATATGTCGAAACATGGCAGAGTGTACAGTGAATATCAGCTGGACATTGGGGCAGGAGCTTTCAAGCGAGCTTTCGTGACCCATCGAAATGCAGTGACCACCGCTGTGAAAAGAATTTCCAGGACGAGCGAGCGTAGTGGAAATGAGAAGGCAGAGATGCTGAAAGAAGATTTGGAGAGAAACGTGACGTTGTGTCTCCACAACAGCTTCTGTAGAAACAGAGAATCAAACGTGGATCCCCTACCTTGCTGTAAACAGAGGGTGGAAGAGCAGAAGTGTTGGAGGACGGCTTCCAACAGCGTCAGGATAGTCAATGACGTGCTACAAGACACGGAAACCGAAAGTGCGGAGTCAGTGTCACAGGAGGAGGAAATGGAGCATTGACGAATGGTCGAGAAAACAAGAGGCAGCAAGAAAGAAAATTAGGAGAATTTAGAAGTTTTAGAACTTCTAAACGACGAAAAAAGAAGAAAACAAAGGGATGATGAAGAAAAGTTAAAACTCAGAATTGTTTTATGTGTGTGAAAAACTCAAGTGAGAAACCAAGCAACCAAGTTGTAATTGAAAACTGAAACATTTAGTTGAGTTTTGGAATTGTTGCATTTATAAATTTTCATTTTGGTTTTAGTTGAAGTGGCTTTAGAGACACTCACTTATTATTTATTTAGAAAGGCTTGAGGGAAGAGTATATTTAAATATTCCAGCCTGCATGATTGTTTTTAATCACTTAGGAAGACTGATCACTTTGTGGTGACATGAAAAACTTGAGTAACTTCTTGAGGAGGGAGGTTGTTGCATTGTTCTTTCTAACCACAAAGTTTCTTAGTTTTAATATTCAGGGCAATAAACAAGCAAGATTTCCGAAGGGAAGGAGCATAGTAGGATAATTTTAGCTTGTTGCTTGGCAGGACTGTCCTGCAAGCCAACACCTTTTAAATCTAGGAGAAAAAGTTTCAATCGGGACATTGACACTGGAAGTCAGAAAATATGTTTTATCTTAAGTCATATCCTCAATGTGCAGATTAATGAAAAAATTTGAAGGCTATAGTGATGTAGTATGATGCCATTTATATTCTGCAGTGAGTCGATGTGACGTAGGTAAAAGTAATTTCGTGCATTTTGTAAATTCTGTTCGATGACACTGTAACCATTTAGAACATTGCGCGATTCAATGAGGACATTGACCGGACTGTCCGGGGAGTATGTGACATTCGACCAGAATGGCCAATATGCAATTTATGCAGGATTCGAATTTTGAGCAGTAAGCCTTCCGAGTTGATGATTTCGAAGGATTAGCGACGTTATTGGAACGTTTAGCCAAACGGTGAGGGCTAGAATATTCTAGTATTTTAAATTTTCAAAAATTCGAATGATGACGTCACGTTTCTGAGAAATGCTGAAACGGCCATTTTAACAAAAAAGCGAGTAAAAAACAGAACAACTTTTATCTGCGATTGCGAACAGTACGAAAATCGAGATTGGAAAACGACAACGAACTACAGAATAGCAGAGAACGTTCCGAGTTGCAACTATTGTGCTGCTACAATAGTTGCAAGGCCGTTGCCAACAACGGTGAAGGGTGAGAACCAGCCTTCCGGATTAGCAAGAAATCAAGAGTAAGGAGCTTGATTCGGCGGATTCAAGAATCCGGAAGGGTCTCGGGACGGAAACTTTTATTAACTCACATAAACTTTTAGCATCCTGTCATGTCCTGACTTGAATTTAACTGGTATTTTGATTAGTTTTGACAAGGATGAGGTGCTAGGAGTTGGGGGAAAGGGTTGATCCATCTTCGATGGAGATGATGATTTTTATCTACTGAACAAAAACAATAGTAATATGATAAGTAGTAGCCCTGTTTTTAGGAGTGACCTCGTGGTCTGGGGATACTGAGACCCAGCCATGAGCTCACTAATTTTGCATGTAATTCAGTTAATTTGAGCGTTCTGGTCGAAGCCGGAGAACAGTAACGTTTTTGTCAGCCTGATGTAAGAAAGACCACCGAAAAGTACTGGCTTGGTAGAGACGGTGAAAAACATGCAAAGCTCTGTTTAGACGCTAGCCAGTCGTCTTAAGACTTAGTTTTGTTATCCGTCGATATGTATCTTCCGGGCGAATGTTACATAGTAGCCTTTAAGAACTTTGGTAGTAGCCTTTAAGCCGTAACGCGGTTTGTAGTCTCATGTCGCAAGTGAACCGAATTGGCTCCGACCGCTTGAGGTAGAAAAACACGGGAAACGGACTTTATCCTCCACGTCATTATCCTCCGGGCGATATCCTCCACCATTATCCTCCATTTCTCAAACAGGGACTTTTTCCTCCATTTTTATCCCCCAATTTTATGAATTTGGATGTTTTCCTCCAATTAGTAAATTCAGTCAAATTATTAGATTATATCCAATATTTGATGAGATTATATCCAATATTTGATCATTTCAGACAATAAATGGAACTTCCTGATCATTCCGCGTACGGGCAGCCCAATTATATGGAACAAGTTGACTTCGGAACATCTGAAGACGAGCTTTCCTGCAATGAAACAGTTTACTTTGAGGTTTTATCGACCTTCCTAGTCATGCTAAGAAAGGGGGCAATTTGGTAGCAGAAGTAACTGGATATGTCTATTCGCATAAGAGGTCTAATATTTGGACATGCACGGTTCGCACTAAGGAGGTTCGCTGCTACGCCGCCATTAAGAAGGTCGATGGGAAGTATCAAAAATTAGGCCACCATAAATGCGAGGCTAGGCCTGGTATAGTTAAGAAAAAGAGAATTGCTTTTGAGTCTAAGAAGCTAGCAAAGTCGCAGCCTTTCAAATCAACGAATGCAATAATTGACGATGCTCTCCGAAGGCAGTGGATTGACTCAAAAATAATTCCACCTGAGACCTGGTGCCAGTTCATGAAAAGTACTCGCACAAACAATGATCTTGAATCATGGCACCACCGCATGAACAAGCGCGCCATGAACCCGAATGTAAATTTTTATTTTCTCGTGCAGGTACTTTTCAATGAGGCACAGTTGGTTGAAATTAATTTGCGGATCCTGTCTGTACAGGAGAGCCGAAAAGGCTATGTGGAGAAGCAAAAGCTTCTTTTCGAGGTTTGGAATGCTTTCATTGAAGGCAACATCAGTGCCGGAACCATGCATGGTAGGTGCTCACGGCTTGTTGGATGTCCGAGTAATTTGTAATTTTGCTGTTGATTATTGCCCTCATTCTTCTGTTTTAACGATACTTTCTTCTAATACATTCCAATTTGATAATGTATTCTATCCCTTAATCTCATCATTTTAGACATTTTAGTACCAGATTCTGATCACTCACCTCACAAAAGCCTTTACAACCTATTTTCAAAAAAATATTAGTTAAAAAGTTACCCTCAGTGGTCTGAAACTATGATTTTTAGATTCAGCGTCTTTATCCTCCAACATTTGGCGGATAAAGTCCCTCGGAGGACTTTATCCGCCATGGAGGATATCGCCTGGAGGAAAATTACCGTGGAGGATAAAGTCCTGTACCCGAAAAACACAAAAGATAGTGTCCCTGACTCTTGAGCCAAAGGTTATAGGGCCTCTTTTTCTTTAACCTCATGTGTGACTTAAGTAGGCGACTGTTACAAACTCCTAGCTTCTCATACTCCGAAAATGAGTCCGGTGTTAATAAAATTCAAGTCAGGACCTTCCAGGAAGCGAAAAGTTGTTACAATAGAGTAAGAGTTTCCTTCCCGAGACCCTTCTGGAATCCGGACGAAGAGCGGTCCTATCCCCTTCCGAAAGGCTTGTAAAATCGTCCAAATACCCTTTCTGTTTCTCGGGAAGTCTTCGGTAACGATTGTACAGTTACAATCGTTACAGTTCGGATAGCTTCTGTTAACGTCGCCAACTATAATTTTGTCGTTCGCTGTTATTTTCTTGTACGGTCTGTGTCAGCAAATTTTCTTCTTCTTCTTTTTTTTTCTTATTTTCAGTTGTAGCGAAATTTCAAGGTCGTGACGTGTCTTTATTTCAGAACGAAATTTTAAAATTCACTTCGTCACTTTCAATTGACCTCTCCTGATTCGTCAAATCGTACGATTAGCGCAGTCAATCTGCCAAAACTGTCAATCTTCCCAGTCTACGGTTTCAATAAATTTTCGAAGTTGCCATGCATTTTGGCGCCATTCTGGTCAAATGTCACAATTCTAACTCGAATCTTCTGTCCTATTTTTATTTGCATTTTCAGTTGTCGCGAGACCACTGAAAAAAAAAAATTTTGTCCCCAAAATCAAGCGTAAACGTCTAATTCAAGGTCAAACTTCCAAATATGACCGACTGGCATACTGCATTGTTGCTTGCGTCTGGAGATTGTTTCCTCTGTGTTTTTTAACCTGAATTACAGGCTGCCTGACTCGTGAATTTTCTGAAAAATATTCGTTGCGTTTTTCTTCTGACAGTAGACTATTGCTTTGAATCGATATCTGTGAAAGAAATTTGGTGTTTTCCATCGGACAGTTGACAATTGCTTTGAATTGAAAAGGGTATATTTAAACCTAAATGGTGCCGAAAACGCAAGATACTTTAAAGAAGGCATATTGAACCGCTAAATATTTCGGAGTTTTAGATCTCATGGTTTTATAAATCTAACGGGCTACATCATATCGGTGAATTTCAAACCTCCAGTTTGAATGCTTGGTTTTTCAGAGCAGTAGAGATGCCATGATTGTTTCCTCTGTGATTGTGACGAGTGCCTTTGCACTGACATGCTGGGCCGTGGGATCATATCCTTCATTTTTCCAAGATATCAATGCAGATGTAGGGTTGAAGTTTTACGCTGAAAGGTTGCACCTCTTGGCATTGAAAATCATTAATCATGCCATGCCTTTCAACACATTGATCACATATGTCTATTCTTTGGGTAGGTGATTTTGCAGCTGTAAGACCGGCCGCCTAGTGGAAAAAATGACATCCACATTTTTTTGTTCTCTAAATCGCGATTATTAAATGCCCTTCCGGTCCAAAAAAATCCTTAGCTAGTAAAAAAAACATCCAAGTTTGACGCGTTTCGATTTAATCATCATCAGAAGCTGAAATATAAAAACAGTACTGATTATAAATACAGTAACAAAAAATGAACATAAACGTGTGACAAGCTGATAGAATCAGAGTTGTAGTCGTGATATCGGAAGTAATATTCTCAATGCTATATTGTTTTGATAGTGATTATGGAAGCATCGATTTTTTTATTTTGAAATTGATAAATGAGTGTTGTTTAGTGGGATTTTACTGGCTGGTCCATTGCGTGTTCGGCTTGAAGAAGTGTAAGCCAACTTATCCTGTGTCGCCTGTTGGGCTGACTTACATCTCAGCATTTAGTCTCATGTCACTGCTGTATGGACCTGTTCACCTCATGAGGATTGTGAAACAGAAACACACCTGGGCAGTCCTAGATCAGGTATAATTTCAAGCCAGTTTGTATCATATGGGTCATTTTGTTGAACATCTCTGTCAGTTTTTGTAGGAAACGTCGTTTGTGATTTTACCAGAGAAATAAAAACTAAGTAAGTACGTCTGAAAATCTTGAAAAAACGAAATTAGTATGTTAATTTTTTTTCGAAAATTGTCAGTGTCGAAATTTGTCAACTGTTTTTCATATGCTCAGCTAACACTCTTAAAGCTCTCTTAGTTGAATTCTTTTTGTTTCAGTGGTTCACTTTGCCCTTCTTTGGATTAGTCATTCACTTTCTTCTCTCACGTACAAATCCGAAATTACAACTTGGTAAAAAGTCTCTGTTTGCTTCGGTTTCACTATCTCACGCTTCCTATGGTCTCGCCTTGCTCCATCCACTCGGGTTCGATTTGGCGCTGGCGATTCACATTTTAATAAGTGCCATACTTGGATACTCGTTTTACAATGCCAAAAAAGAACCAGAAATCAGACTTCTGGTAGTCAAAACTGTACTCAGCTGCGCAGGGTTTGTGGTGCTAAAATTAGCCGATTTCTACTTGGCAGAATTGCATCTAATTTTCGAAATATTTAGTGGACACTTTTTGTCTAAAGTATGCGATGTGATGCAGATTTACTACTGTCTTCTAATTATGGAGGCGGATTTGTATGGTTCGTCTCCGCAGATCACAGAACTGGGACAGAAAAAGAAATGAAAGACTACGAAAAAACTAACTTGATTTAAATAAAAGTTCTATAAATTTTATCACAAATTTGTTTTTGTCTATCGCATTTGATGTTATGTTTCCCAGATTTAAATTCGAATAAACGTTTCGATAGTTTAATTTAACTTCACACTAAATCTGAGCGATAAATTGGACGTTCATTCTTAAAAAAGTGAAATTATTGCGCTTTGAAAAAAAAGTAGTTACAAATAAATAACGATGTCAACGGTTGAAAAGCTTTTAGCACCAGAAAATGCAGTGAAAGCAATGAATTATGAATATCATTACTTGGAATTCTTTGTCTGTATATGTTTTTTTTTCTATACGCATTTTACATTGTAGTTGTTTTTAATGTTTTCATTTACTACTGCTTTTCCGTGCGTTCCGAAGTTTTCATTTACTACTGCTTTTCCGAGCGTTCCGAAGTTTTCATTTACTACTGCTTTTCCGAGCGTTCCGAAGTTTTTCTACTGTTTTTTTTGGCTGTTATACAATTTTTTCACCGATTTCTTGCAAGTGAGGCAAAGCTCCGCTTGGCCGCCATGTTTCAATTAAAGTTAAAGTTCATTTTAGGTTCAAAAGAGCCAATTAGCAAAAAGCTGGTTGCTAGATTTGTAAAAGAGTTTTTCAGAACGGCACTGCACATTTTGTTGTCTGTTAGAAAACATTGAAATTATCGTAATTGAAGTCTTAAGATTGAACTAGTTTAAAATGAAATAGCTCATGTTACTGTACAATCTTAACATAATTTTTAAATTTTTCAATGACCTTTTGTGTTTAAAAGGAAACAAAAAACCGTTCGGTTTTTTGCGTTGTGCTTTTTTTGGCAAGTACTGGGCATCAAACAGATTTTTTTAAATTCGTATTAGTAGATGTTGTCCAATCTGTGCCGGTAATCGAAAGAAATACAGCTACCTTTAAAATACCAATTAACGCCCAGATAATATTTTAAAGCTCAAAACTCCAAAAGCGCCTATTACACCCAAATTTTACAGTTAGATTGGAGAAACACTTGGTGCTGCATTTTTGTCTTGCGATTACTCAGTGTTAAAAGTTTTCAATAAATTTTTTGTTTAAGTGTTGAAGACTGAATTGGTTGTCATTTAAATAATTTTTCTTGATGTTTTTAAGTGTTTTGAATTATTTTGCATTGAATAATTGCAACTTCGGTGAAAAATACAATCAATTATTGCAGTATTTTCAATTTTGGAAATTGCAGACACAAATGGCTGTCAAGCTCCTGATTCCAAATTAGTTTATTGTTCCGACTTTCGATACGAAAGTAACGGAATATTTGTGCTCGGGGTGGGTTTTTTTTTCTTCAGACAAATTTCGACTTTTTAACTAGCCGTTTTTGACGAAATTTTTTAAAATCATTCAAAAGGTATTGTTTTCCTGAGGTTAAACTTGAAAAGATATTTCACCTGTGATCATTTTTCGTAAAGTTATGAGGGTTTAAAGATTGTCATTTTGACCAATTTGGGACAATGAACGCGCGATATAATTCGCGCTATTAACGCGTAAGCGGAGATTTAATCCGTCTGATAAATCGTTCCAAGTTGGTTGAACGAAGCTTTTTTGCCATAATTGATTTGTTACAAGGAACGAAATATATCTTTTTATAATTTATATGGCGCGTGGTGGATGATTTTCATAAAAAATTTCAAATTTTAGAAAAAAAAGTTTTAATTTTTTTTATTTCATTTAATTTTTTTTATGTTATTACTGCTGCTCCATAAACCTTAAAAGGCAGTCGGAACATTCAGGGCTTCACCCTGATACGAGCAGTCTTGTTGATTTTGTGAACAGCTTCATTTTTTAAATTCGAAGGCAGAATCGTCCAGGATGTTGCTCGTTTGAGATTTTGGCTGAAAAACCGTTCCAGATAACTAAACGGTTGCAGCAAGAAGTTTTAGGTCATAAAGAGACTCCTTTTGTAGCTCGGGGTTGTTTTTTTTTCTACAGACTTTTTAGTTGCTGTTTTTAACGGATTTTTAAATATCATTGTTGACCTGACCTCAAGTATAAAACAGGTATCTTTGACCTCAGCTGAAGTTTAATAAGATATTTCACAAGTGATCATTATTTGTAAAGTTCGAGGGTCTTGAATATTTCCAATTTGGGACAAATAACGCGTGGATATATTCAGAATAGAATGAATTTACTCGGTCTTACAAATAGTTCCAAATTAAATTGAGGTATACTATTTAGTCTACTTATTAGTTTGCGCTTTGCAAAAAAAATAATTTCTTTTTTTTTTTGAAATTTTCATCACTGTTAAAAGTCATTCAGGGTTTTCCCCCTGATACGAGCATTCTTATTCTAACTTGCTATGGTTCAGAATTTCAAAATCGAAGTTCGCTTTGTTATCATTTGCCTTAACAGCACATGCTGATGTTTTTTGAGCTTAGAGATGAGACATTTTTTGATTCGGTTAGTTTATATTTGCGCAAGTCTTGAATGAAAACAAGGGAAAAGAAAAAGCAGCCTTCCAAACTATCAACCAGAAATTTTTTGTGGGCAGTTTCTACAACTTAAACTCGGAAACGCAACTTGCAAGGATCTCAAAAGTTCACTCATTCATAACAATTAAAGTTCAAATAACAAAATACAGTTTTTTTTATTTACGCTAAATTTTAAAACAAATAATAATTAAAATACAAATTCACTGTGGAATTTGTAGCATTCCAATCTTTTATTTTCATTTGACTGGACACACTAAATAACCATTTTTTTTACAGCCGATAAGATGTAAAATGAAGATAATGACTGGAATATTCATCAAAATTATGGTTTCTTAACTTCAGTAATGACATTGATATATCTATCCGGAGTTATCAACAATGCCAAAATACAGCAGTTCCATAATTGAAAAGTGTTTAAGAGTCCCTCGGAATTAAACAGTGCTGAAATTCAAAAGTGTTAAACAGTGCCGCCGAGGTACAACTATGCCTATATTGAAAAGTCTTCAACGGTGCCGCCGAAGTACAACTATGCCCAAATTGAAAAATTTTCAACGGTGCCGCTGAAGTACAACAATGCCGAATTTAAAAAGGGTTCAAAAGTGTCGCCGAATTACAACTGACGATATTGAAAAGTGTTCAGAAGTGTCGCGAATTACAACTATGCCTAAATTAAAAATTTCCAACTGTGCTGAAATCGAAAACTGTTTCGCAATGCCGCCGAAGCATAAGAATTGATGAAATTGAAAAATTTTCATCTGAGCTCAAATTGAGAAGTGCTAAAAAGTGCGGCTGAAGTACAAGTATGCCTCTATTGAAAAGTGTTCAACTGTGCTGAAATCGAGAAGTGTTCAAGGGTGTAGCCAAATAACAATTATGCCTAAATTGAAAAATGTTCAACTGTGCCGAAATTGAAGTGTTCAACGATGTCGCCGAAATTGAACAATGCCGAAATTGATAGAAGCTCAAAAGTACCGCTGAAGTACAATAATGCCTAAATTGAAAAGAATTCAGTTGTGCTGAAATTGAAAAGCATTCCTCGCTGCCGCCGAAATAAAAAAATGAGCAAATTGAAAAGTATCCACAACCGCCAAAATTGAAGTGTCCAATAGTGCCGTCGAAGTACAACAATGCCGAAATTGAAAATTGTTCAAAAGTGCCGGCGAAATTGAAAAGTTTTTAACGGTGCTGTCGACTTAGATTTGTTACTAAATTGACAATTATGCAACAGTGCTACCGAAGTACATTATGCCTAAATCGAAAGGTGCTCAACTGTTTTGAAATTAATAATGTTCAACGTTTGCGCAGAAAAACACCATCATTGAATTTGAAAATTGTTCAAAAGTAATGCCGAAGTAAAACTATGCCTACATTGAAAAGTGTTCAACTGTGCGGAATTCAAAAAATTTCCACAGTGGCGCGGAAGGACAAAAATTGACGACCTTAAGAGTTTTTCACCTCTGAAGAATTTGAAAACTGTTCCTAAGTGTCGCCAAAGCAAAACTATGCCTAAATTGAAAACTGTTTGACCGCGCTGAAATCCTAAAATGTTCCGCGCTGCCATCGAATTTAAAAAAAAATGAAAATGAAAATTTTTCAACTGCGCTGAAATTGAGAAGTGTTCAAAAGTGCCGCTAAAGACAAAGAATGACCAAAGTGGAAAGTGATCAACGGTGCCGAAATTAATAACTGTTCAACAGTGCCGCCGAAGTAGAACGACACCAGAACGGAAAAGTTTAACGTTGTCACCGTAAAATTGTTCAAAAGTGCGGGCGAAGTACAACTGAAGAAACTGAGAGTATTCAAAAATACCGAAATTGAAAAGTTTTTAACGTTGCCGTCGATTTAGATTTTTTCCTAAATTGAAAAATAATCAACTGTGCTACCGAACTACATCTATGCCTAAATCGAAAAGTGTTCAATTGCGCTGAAATCAAAACATGTTCCACGGTGCCACCGAAGTAGAAAAATGATGAAATTGGAAAGTGTTCAACTGTGCCGAAATTGAAAAGGGTTAAAAAGTGCCGCCAAAGTACAACTGTGAAGAATTTAAAATTTTTCAAAAGTTCTGACTTTGAAAAAAGTTCAACGGTGCCGTCGAAGTAGTATTATACCTAAATTAAAAAGTTTTCAAAGAAGCCACCGAAGTACAACCATGCCAAAATCGAAAAATGTTCATCTGAGACGAATTGCCGCCGAAGAAAACCAATGCCGAATGTGAAAATTGTTCAAAAATAACGCCGAAGTACAACTATGCCTGAAGCGAAAAATGTTCAGTTGTGCTGAAATCCAAAAGCGTTCCTCGGTGCCGCCGAAGTACAAAATTGATGAAATTGAAATGTGTTCAACAGTGCCGAAATTAAGAAGTGTTCAACAGTTCGGCCTTAGTACAATAATGCCGAAATTGAAAAGAGTTCAAAAGGGCCGTCGAATTATAACTGTGCCTCAAATGAAAAGTGTTTAAAAGTGCCACCGAAGAACAACTATGCCTAATTTGAAAATTGTGCAACTCTCCCGAAATTGAAAAGTGTTCAACGGTGCAGCCGAAGCACAATTTTGCCGAAATTGAAAAGCGTTCAAAAGTGCCGACGAACTTCAACTATGCCTAAATTGAAAAATGTTTGACCGTGCTGAAATCGTAAAGTGTTCCACGCTGCCGTCAAATTAAAAAAAATG